GTATACCCTCCTAACTAATTTTAAAATATTGCGAAAAAAACTCCTCAGCCAGGAGTCGAACCTGGAATCTCCGGCTTTCCGGGCCGTCGCCTTCCCTGTTAAGGCCACCGACAGGCACTTGGAGTTTGTCTCGCAATACTCAGCACATCTATTAATGTTTTTCTTTTTTCATTTTTTTTACGAAAGTACATGGTTTTCTTTTTTGCAGACGACGAGAAAGAACAACCTTGAACATTTCTCGGAGGCAACACACACACACTCTTTCTTTAACGAGTTCCCTACAAGTTGACTCTCGGCTTTTTTTATTTTTAGCTAGCTATTACGCTTATCTAAGCCTCACAGCAATGTTTCCGCTTTCGGTTCTTATCTATCGAGAATTATCGTCGACAAAACATCCGTGAAATGTAGAGAACTGTAATTTTTTTTCAAAAACAAAAAAAAACTCGCGCGGACAACGGGTCTTCAATGACTCGGCGAATATTTTTCGGCCTTAACGTAAGGACTACGACTAATCGTACACTGCGGTTGTTTCACCTCACACACACGTTTCCGTGCTATTGGTGTGTTACAAAACGGGGTAACACACAACAAGATACGGATAATACACTATACGATTGTGTAATCCGCGCAACGTGCTCTCGCCGAGCGGGATGTCGCGGTTTTACGCGCAGTAGCTTTCAAAAATGATACATCCCGTGCGCGGATTTTCTTGTAAGAGGAGCGGCCGAACACGCGCGAGGAGCGGAAAGAGAGATATCGCGTTTCTCCCCTCAGTCTCCCGGGTAAATCGATGCGAGTATAGGTACGTTTCTCTTCAGATGAGAAATTATACGGTTTGCATTTACACACACACACACACACACACACACACACCCCGGGAGTAAAATGTGAAAATTAAATTAAAAATTGATTCGAACTTCAAACTGAAAAGAGAAAGTTGAAAAAAAAAAAAAAAAATGACCAAAATATTTTCACGAGAAAATATTTCTCTTTCTCCCAGTCGGTCCCCGTCATTCGATTCGTTCTTATATCGTCGTTCGGAGCAAATACTTCACACGGTTAACGTCAACATCGTCCACAGGATAAACATGCGAACTTTCAACTTCTCGACCGCTCAGTGGCCACGACACTGGGCTTGCGCGACGCACCACTTTCGCCGGTCGCTCTCGCTTTCGTTCGACTACCAAGGGGGGTCTCGAACGAACGACGACGGGATGCGGCGGTGGATGTCACGGCTATAAACGCGCACGCGAATATCGACGGGAGGAGCAGCGGCCGCGGCGCCGCGAGTCCGTCACGCTTGCGCGTCGCTTCCGTCCAGATGAGAGAGAGGATGAGGCCGAGAGGAGCCGATGATGCTCTTTGCTCGTCTCTGCTTCGTGTGTTGCTTTAACAGGAACGAACACCGAACACCGAGAAAAGTCCACGGCGATTCGAAAAGCGACACGAGAGAGATAAAACCGGATAAAACAAATGTGTCGAAAGTCCGCGGCGAGACTTTGATCAGCAGGCGCGTAATTACGGTATTGTTGCAAATATTATCCAAACATGTGTCTAAAGCAACTCTGATGGGAGGATACGGTATCGGTCGAGCGCCAAAAGTCTCTATCATGTGGCTTAAAATTTTAATAATCAAGCCGGCACAAGCATATTCACAGAAATGTATCGTATATCGCCAAGTAGTCGATAAATAAATTTATACGCACAACGGATTGGTACAAAGATCTCGTTTTCATGATTTAAAATAAATGTTTCTACTTTATTTTCAGTCAATAAAAAATAACAAACGTTTTATTGCAGAAAGAAGTTCGAAAGACGTATAATTAATCAATAAAATAAATTATCAATAAGTATATGAATAGAAAAATATATATAACAAGGTCTTTTTCGAGCTTTTAATGGATCTTAAAAAATTTTTATTTAGAGACAAAATGCAAATAAAACGCAAATAAAATTCAAATAAAATTTAACATTTAACAAATGACAAACGTTTCGGCCCTACTTGAGCCCTCTTTAAAATAAATTATATTTACATTATCAGCGTTTGCGCAAAAACAATTCAACAATTATATCTAGGACTATAGAGAGCACTTATTCCATATATATATATATATATATATATTTATTAAAAAAACAAAAAAAAATACACTATACGTTACATACATGATGGAGATCTTGAACCTGACGTGAGAGCTTTTCCGCTTCCGGTATCGGAGCCGACTGGAGATCCGCGCGCGTTCTCCGACGAAATCGAGAGTATGAAAAAGTCAATGGAAAAAGTGGGGGAGAGTAAGAGCGGCTGCGCAGGGGTGGAAAAACATCCGGGAAAAACAGCGGGAGAGAGGGAGACTACTCGGGGTTAGAGGATAATATCGGAATCTGTCGACTATCCCTTTCTCCCTCTCTCTCTCTCTCTTTCTCTCCGAAGCCACTGGAAACGCCCGACACCCGGGGCGACAGGAAAGGAAAAGGGGTTGTTTTATATGGGCCACGAGACTTTTGTCGTTTTTTTCTTTTCCATCACGGAGAGAGCGACTTACCGGCGAAATTCAGAACCACGGGGGGGTCGAAAAAGAGATAACGTTTCGCTGCGCGAGGGCGCGAAACTCCCGTTTTTTTTTTTACGTGTTTCCCAATAGCGAGAGAAGTTTATTTTTAGCGGCGGCACGCCGTATGTCGCACGGCAGCGAAAAACCGGTGCTGATGCTTTCGATATTTTTTTTTTTTTTTTGTATTCGCGATTTCAATCTCACAAACGGAAACGTTGTGGCACGATATTGACTGCGCGATGACGCAAATTGAAATTTTGGAGTAACTTTTATTCTCGAGCGTTTGTATATCGTTTTTTGTTTGCAATTTCACGTAAATTATTTTGTTTAGTTGGTAAAACAATTTTTGCGATATAAATATCGCAATTACTAGCATAAATAAACGAAAGAAAATTGCAGAATTGTGCAAGTAAATTGATTGACGCGCGCACACACACACACACACACACTACTAAAGCGTTGAGAGTAATTTCAAGTTTCCGAAAGTATAAAGGAGAAATAGCGGAAAAGAAAACGCGAGCAATATTTCGAAGAGGCGCCGTTGACTCGGCTCGTAAAAGCGGCGGCGCGCTCGAACGGCAGCCGCGCTTATCATCGGAGTATCTTCGACAGACAAAGCGAAAAAAAGCGTGAAAAAGCGAGGAGAAAGCCATAATAGAAATATGCTCAAAGAAAAGGAATACGAGCGTAAGCAGAGAGAAAGAAAGAGAGAGAGAGAGAGAGAGAGAGCATTAGATATGTCGACTGTCTCCTCGCGCGATAAGGCGCGAGATCAACCCTTGAGTGGCGCGAGATATCGAATGCGCGAAGACGCGAAGACAACAAAAGATATTCGCGAGAAAGAAATCAACAAAAAATCGAAGCAGTAAAAAATTTAAATAAACTTTAAAAAAATCACCAGAGACAAAAGTCGATTTTTCCCATTGATATATTCAAACGTATTGTATTTCTGAATGTGAAAGAAAAAAGAAAGAAAATACGCGTAAAAATATAAAAATATTATTTTATTATTTTTATGTGCGAGATTTTTTTTTTTTTTTTTTTTTGGTCAAATTCTGTGACTAACTTTTAACTTGAAGTGAAAATAAAAAACTTTTACGACTAAACTTGATATAAACTAATATTAAATGTATATTATATACTAATATTATATTAATTAATATTAATATAAACTAATATAAACTAATATTAAATATTAAATAAACTTGATATACTTTTTGTTGGTAAATAATTCTTGCGCGTTACGCGGATAAAATATTGAGAGAGACCGGAATGCGCTAAAAACTTAAGCTTAATAAACACGCATTAGTTGGGCAGTCGAAATTGTCTACTGAATTATCGGCAGACTCTCACATTGTGTCGGTAAAATTATTTTCGCGCCCGTAATAAAACGGACCAGTCGAGGGTTGAATCCACGCCGTAAAAGAAAGAAAACAAGGGAGGCACTTACCTTGCGTGACTACTCCCTCGCGGTTTTTGCCGGAAATAGGCGGAAGTAGCGTGTCCGCAATATAGCAGTGTAGGAAGTAATTCGCGTGTAATAATCCCCGGCTAATCAAGCGAACGCGAGATCGACAGTTGTTATAACTGATTGCGTTTCTTTTTTCCTTCTCTCAAAGTATCCAGTAAATTGATGCGATTTATTACGCGCACACAGTTGGCTTCAGGTTTTAATTAAAAAAGCACACGCGTTTCGCGCTAAGTTCGCGCAAGTTCAATTTAATAATTACACAAGCGCGAGATTCAATTAATAAAACGGAACGCCGAAGGACACTATAACGTAGCGCGATGGATATTAGTATTAACTTTCATTATATATCACGCGCGGTAATTATGAGTAACATCGCGGAATTAAACGAACACACAGACGGTTTGCGCGACGGTTATTCCGAAATGACGCAATCTTCAACCGCCTCCGGAAACTTCATCGTTCATTGCGGATTGCGCGATTTTTTTTTTCCTTTCGTTGAGAAGAAACGTATGATGCAATAATCAGATCCGCGAGTTGTTTCGGTCCAAACGAATCCGATTGAATTCAGGTTGCGTGTAAATTTCGCAAGCCGCGCGTTTATATTCTAATTCAAAGACCAGCTAATCACATTTTGCGAAAAAGCGATATAAAGGTAATGTAATTAAAATTTTTCATATTTTCATCATAAAACGTGAATTATAGAATAAAATTATTTGCCCCGCCAAAAAAAAAAAAAAAAACTAGATTTAGTTCAGAAGAAGCAATATCTGTCGAGAGATGTAAGCTGAAATACGTAAATTGATCAAAAAGTCATCTTGTCGTTGTAAACAATTTCATTGGACAGATATACAAGATATAAATTATGTTAATGCAAATAGTGAAGCAAAAGCGAAGGTCGAAGATACTCCGGGGACGAGAAGGAAAGCCATCATCGAGACGACAGAAGGGATGACAGAAGAGAGATGACGGTAAGATCCTACCTTAGAACGTAGTTGACGCAGACAACGGAGATCGGTTTCTGCTGCTTGGAGCAGTGGATGAGGGTGGCCTGCGTGACGACCCAGACGTAACCGCCCCGTTTGTTCAGGAATCTATATGCCACGGTCTCGCATTGGCCCTTGCTGAATACTGAAACAGAAACGGACGTGATGACATGAGAACGGTCGTTCCTGGACTACACGGCAGGCGTCATTCGCGCGGCTTTTAGTAGCGAGTTGTGCCGAGCCGCGTGCGCGTTTCGGCTGACGAAAGATGCATCGTGAGATTGCAAGTTCGCATTCCATCGATCGGCGTACCGATGTCAAAAAAAATCACATGTGAAAAACAAGTAACAATTAATTAATTAAAGAATCTTTAAGGCTCCGAAGTTTCCAAACTAATAAATATATATTCGGTCATGAGAGCCGTTCGCTAGGTGTTGTGCGGAAATTATACGTGTATATACATATATACATATATACGTGTTCACGT